TGTTCCTCTCCTGGCGGGCAGTGGGAGCCCGAGGCTGCCCCAAGCATCTGGGAAAAGCCACCTGACTCATTGAAACGGGCCCCCCCGGGTCTGGTGTTAAGAACGTTGGAACCCCATCCTTTGAGGAACTTTGGCCACCTGAGACAAGCCAGTGGCTTGAGCTGTGTCCTTATCCGGCCCCAGCACCTCCGAGCACCTTACTACCTTCCGCGTAGCTTTAATATTACAACCCCCATCATCCTGCCTCGGACCCAGCCACAGAGACTAAGGGACTTTCCCAAGGTCACACGGGGACTCGGTGGCAGAGCAGGGAATCAAGCCCAGGTCTCTCAAGTGCCCGATGCACGGGGCCGAGCGGTGCTGTCCTGCACCCTACCACGTGCACTGCAGCCATAGAAGGTAACGCGGGCTGACAGCAGCCAGCTAGGCCCCTGGGGGGTATTTCATGAGCCTGCGCCAGGGAGGAAGGCCCAGAAATCAACAAGCATTAGGAGCCTAAATACCCTGGAGGATCTAGGGCGAACTGTGTAAATCCATCCTTAGCAAGGGGAGAGCAGCCTTCGGAGGGCTCTTGCCTGGCAGAGTAGTTGAGTGAGTGACCAACACGGGCCAAGCTCCGTATCCCAGCCCCTGAGCCGTCCCATTCCCCCCCACACAAGACGCTCCCGCGTTGTAGCATCAAACTGGCCCTCACGGCACAGAGAACCCCGGGAATCAAAAGGGCACCTCCCGGCCCCCGCTCAGGGCAGAGCCTTGCAGAACAGGGCAAAAGGCAGGGGAAGGGATCACTGCCTGTTACATTTCATCCCAAGCTGCTTCCCAAGCCAGCCTCACGTCATGGACCCCGAAACTGTAGCCACCTCTGGGGTGAAACGCAGCAGCTGTTTAACAGTGCACATCAACATGGCACAACAGCTGAGGCCAGGCAGTGGAGAACATGGGGCCACCAGACAATGCCGGCTGCGTTTGTAATGACTGGGTTTGGGCCCCAGCCAGGATACCGGCCCAGCAGTCCCACATCACCTGCCAGTCCCTTGCCATTGCACGGCTGACGGCTGCTCCAGCTGCCTCCTTCCATTACGTGCCATCGGCCTTTAGGCCTGAGCTTCCCGGTCCGAGCGGGACTAGGAGCCGGGGGAAGCGAGCGCTCAGAATCCTGCCCCTTGGGTCACAGATGAAAGTGCTGATGAGGTGCTAGAAAATCTGTTAACCACATTTTTCCACCAGCTCAGCAGTTTTGTCTTTGTGCTTTTGGCAGTCGCCTGCAGCCCTGCACGGTGCTGGAGAGGAAACCCTGCTTCTGCTCACCCCACACGGCCTCCACGAGCAGCAGCGCTGGGCACCGGAGCCAGAGCTAGGTGCACGGGCCTAGGGCAATGCTTCTTCCCAGCACGCCTTGCTCGCTGCTCTCCCTTAGCAGCCTCAACAAAGATCCTCCTTCCCGCGGCTCCAGCTTCCTCCTACACCTCCGGCTCCGGCTCCGCTCCGCTTCTAGAGACTAGAGGCTCTTCTCCAGCCCTAGCGCAGGCAGGGCCTGGGCCAGTGGCCAGCCCCGCCTCGCGCTGCCCCGTTCAGCTCTTGGGCTTCTCCACCGCAGCTGCCACCGTGGGAGACAGTGATGGGCCAATTGTGCTGGGGTGTTGGGAGGCTCTCTGGGCCCGCCCCTAGCGAGGCTGGACTGGCGCCTGGCGCCCAGCTGTGCAGAGCTCGCAGGGAGGGGTGACTTCGCCCGCACCCCCGTCGCGCCTGATCGAAGCCAATGGAAAGGTTTGGGTCAGGCCCTTCGGCACGAACCAGGGCTCACGTGACACAGCGGCTGCTCCTGGGTTTCAATTTGGGTGACATGTTGCTGCACCAACTGGTGAAACCCACCACCGGGAGCAAAGGCTGCTGCTTAGCTTGTCCGCGGCCAGTCCTGTCCGGGGCGGGGCGGAGCCGTGTGTGGGGCATGCCGTAGACGTCGCTCCTGCCCTGCTGGGCCGGCTCTGCCCTCAGCCCAGTGCCCCGCTGGGCCTTGTGACAGGTCCTTCCCTGCTCAGCTTTCGAGCGCTGAAAACCTGCCCGATTTGTTAGTCGCCCGTCACCTGGATTTCCCTGGAGCGGAGCAAGTCCCTGGGATTCTAGTGGCTGAACAAAGCAGCCGCAGCGGCGCTGGGGCGGAGCGGTTCTCCGGCTAACTGCACTTGGGGAATGAGGTGCCCTCCTTGGGTGCCCCGGGGGGGCGGGTTACTGCATCGTACCTGCCATGCTGGGACTGTCCAAGTCCCCTGATGCCTCACCAATCTGTTGCCCGGCTCCCAGCTCTGTGTGTCACAGGCCCCAGAGCCGGCTGGCCTGGGAGGAAGGACCCTGTGGGGCGGGAGTGGCGTGTCCAGGGCAGCGCCAGCCGCACCCGCGACCCTTCACAACTAGATAATGGCCAGGAGGCAGGCGTAGTCAGCCCGATGCAGAGACGAGGCGTGAGCTATCCAATGGTGAGTGGATGCAACTGTATTTATGGGTTTGGCTCCGCTCAGGGCCTCCGGGGTCTAGTACAGACACTGATGCTCGGCCTCTGCCCCACGGCAGAAGAGGGGGTCCAGGGACCCCAGACAGAGCAGTGACCCAGTATGGGGCTGGCAAGGCCTGCCGACAAGGGGGTGGCTGGCCAGGCTCCAGGCGGCCGGGTTAGTCAGCATGGCGTCACCAGCGCGTGTGAACCAGGGTGCACGGCTGATCCTATCTTCGATGGGGGCTTGTTTCACGCCCCCAGAGGGCTCTGCACCCCAACTCTGCAGTGACTCTCAGCCAGCGGGTGAAACAGAAGGTTGATTAGTTGTCTGGAACACAGCGTAGAACAGGTCTTGCTATGACAGGAATCAGGAAGGTTCAGCAAAGTCTGTCTTGGGGGGGACCCAGAGCCGTCGGCTCTCCCCCCGAGTCCCTGTCCAGGAGACCGACTCGCTTGTTGCCCAGTTGCCCCTCCTCCATCCTTTGTCTCTTTCCCAGGCAAACTGGTCACCTGGCCTCCATGTCGCTCTTTGTTCTCCAACTCCTTCGGCCGGCTCCTTGAAGAGGATGGGCCCCAGCCATCAATTGGCAGGTTACAGAGTGTCCGGCCATTGTCTGGGCGCTGGCAGCTACCCGCTAGGGTTTCTGCAACAATCACACACCTCTGTTCCACCAGCTAGATACTTGTGCAATACATAGGGGAAACTGAGGCACACACAGTACTCATACAAAACATGAAGAAAGTTCCCACTTCATCCCAGCTCGTCCTGGCCCCTCCCACCAGCAGAGGTCCTTCACCTCGCCGAGAGGCGGTAGCTAGGTCAACAGAAGGATTCTTCCGTCAACCCAGCGCTGTCTAGACGGGGACTTAGGTCGGCTTAACGGTGCTGCTCAGGGGTGTGGATTTTTCATCCTCCCCCAACTGACGTAGTTAAACTGACCTAATTGTCTAGTGTAGACCAGGCCCGAGTCAAGGCGACGTGGCTGAGTTCATGGGGCATTAAGTTCCTCAAAAGCAACAGTCGTGGGCATGCGACTGGCTTCCCGCGCTCACCAGCTAGCCATGGCCTCAGCCCCCTCGTCAAGCAGGCGGTTTCCATTTCACAGGAAGGGAACCCAAAGAGCAGTGGCAGCGCACACCTTCCTCACACCGGGGTCTCTCACCGGCCGTCCCAGGCTCCTGGTTCCTCTCTGAACTCTCCCCAGCATGGCTAGCAGACAGCAAGTGCCCTAAAACAGTCACGGGGCGGCTGCGCTGTGCACCAGGAGCTGCATTCCAGCCTGCTCGCCGGCCAGGAGCAACGCCGCTGGGGGATGTCTCCTCTGCAGGCAGCCGCTCGGTTCATCCGGTGACGTTCTCTCCAACAAAATGGAGGTGATGGTATCGGCTCTCAGATCCAAGGAGAACAGTGTGACTCGTCAGACTGGGCGAAGCGGCTCCAAGACTGTGGCCCCTCCGCAGGGGAGCCTGGAGGGTGGAAGTCTGGGGTCTGGTGCGTTTATGAGTTCAGTATCAGATCCTGCGTTGTCTCCCACAGGGACTTCCACCCTCCCCTCGGTTTCAGTGCTCAGATGGGCCCCGCATGCTCCCCCCAGAATAAAGAACTGTCGATGGCTCAGCTCACAGACCCATCCCCACGGCCCCATCCCCGCCCCCTCGAATGGATTTCAGTGGGTGACTTGCTTGCATCAGAGCGCAGGGTTGTCCCTAGGTTGGCGAAATCAGCCCTCAGGTGCCAGCCGGTTCCGCACACGGGCTTATCAAATGGTTCTCAAGAAGTAAATTGAAATTGCAAAAGCTTGCATAATATTCTTAGCGTGGGGGCCAATTTAACTACAGCTACCCTATCCCGTGGGTTTGCTGTCGGCAACGGCGGGGCCAGCTATTCGTGAGAGCGCTAGGTTACATCTGACAACGCTCGCTTTAAGCATAAAGCTGAGGGTCCTCGGCCACCGCGTGGTAACCAAGTCAAACATCTTCTGCATTGCATTCACAGAGCACCGTTCATTCTGACGGAGCCCAGCGAGCTTTGCAAACTTACATGGACAGAGACTGAGATTTTCAAAGCAGTGTAGGGGACCTCAACACATGTTTAGATACGTGTCTAAACCCTCTAGGCTGCTCTGAAATTCTCAACCGCCCCACACAGAGCACTTTGTCCAGCACAGGAATGCAGCCATCTCTGGGATGAGACGCGGCAACTGCTTCACGGCCCACAGCAACGCTGCACAAAGGTTTAGGACCGGAAGTAAAGGGAGTAGCCCACAGCATAGAGGCCGTCAGGAATGATGCTGGGTACAGTGGGGCCGGGCAGAGGGCTGTGCCCGCACACACTCTGGCAGTGGGCGCAGAGGGAGGGTGGCTGAGTTTCCATAGGGCGGATTTCAGGGACAGTTAAGTGCCCACCCTCAGTACCAGCCGTAGCCTCCGTGCCCAGGCATATCCCCGGCCTAGCCCAGCCGCTCCCCGGGCCCAGCTCACCTGAACTGCGGGTTGTTGATGAGGCTCCTGACGGCTGCGGCGAAGGCAGCCGCGTCCCCCTCCAGGACGGCGGAGCCGGCGTAGGCCATGGCCTGGGGTGGCGACCGAGGCAGGCGGGAGGGAGCTGGCCTGAGCGTGTGGCAGAGAGAGCCAGCCAAGTTCAGCCTCAGCCAGGCCTCCCCCGGCCTGCGGGTCACTATCTTGCTCAGCGCCTTGCAGAGAGCTGGCGGGAACGGGAGGGAGCAGGGCCAGAGATGGGGAGGCAGGCTTAGGCCACGGGGAGGAGGCCCCTGCTGCAAGCAACAGAGCTCATCACTAAGGAAACCGGCAGCTGCCCAGCTCCAGAAATCCAGCGGCTGCCGACGGGGTGTGTGGGAAACCCGTGAGCCTGAACCGAGAGGAGCAGGGTCAGAGTCTCGAGCGAGGCAGCCAGCCGGCCCGGGGGCCAGGCCGAGGAAAGGCAGCAAACCAGAGGGGAGCGGGAGTGGCAGGACAGGAGTTCTGCACCGGAAAGCAGCTGGAAAATCTCCCCCCTCCCCCCCAGCATCTCCTTTCCAGAGCCAGCCAGAGCCAGCCACGGTCTCTGAGCTCAGCAGTGGCTCAGCCTCGGGCCGCGGCCAGCTCCTGGGGCGACACTATTGCGCTGAGCTCCGTCCCTGAGAAAAAGCAAACGGATCCCCGCGGCTGAGCCCTTTCCGG